GTGTGTGTGTGTGTGTGTGTGTGTGTGTGTGTGTGTGTGTGTGTGTGTGTGTGTGTGTGTGTGTGTGTGTGTGTGTGTGTGTGTGTGTGTGTGTGTGTGTGTGTGTGTGTGTGTGTGTGTGTGTGTGTGTGTGTACGTTTCTAATTCGCCAGTGCCATCAACGATATCAAAAATGGAAATGTTCTGAACAACGTCCCACTCGAAATTACAATTGTAATTTCGTTCCTTTTCTTTTCTTTTCTTTCTTTTTTTTTTTCGCCTCAATATCTTAACGCATAATCAAAGGCAATGAAAACGAACGATGTTTCTCGATGAAGAGATTTTATTTGAATATTCGTTGGAAAAAGTGATTCATACGTGGATTTAATCTCGCCTATTATGTATATTATCGAATTATTATTAATTTCGAAGGAGCGAAATTTCTTTTATTTGACTCCAGCAAATTGGTTTATTAATTCTCCCTCCTTTTAAAGCGAAAGGGAGACAGAGGGAGGGGGAGTCTGGAATGAAAGGAATTGTGTATGCCAGGGCGGCTTTTGTGCCCCACGATTGAATCGTGGAGGCATCTTAAACCGTGTTTCGAGCGGTCTGTGAACCGCAGCAGGGTGTCACGTAAGACGCGCCATTGAAATTGCTTCCATCGAGGTAAGTAAGCCGAAGTCGAACTGCTTGTTGATTAGCTTGCGGTCCCTGTATGCCCATTAACGAAGACCACCATTATCGTGTATCAAACAGATGCTTTCTTAGCCTGCCTCAGTCACCGATTGTTAATAACCTCCTTTGAAACCGTGCCTCGTTTGTTTTTGCTTCGAACCGAACCGAACCGAAGAGCGCGCGCAGAGCTCGAAATTTTCACCTTTTCGAATCGAGTTTATCAGAGATTAACATCTGATCCATCCAATTGATCACTTTGTAGTATCAATTGATAATTTCTTGCTTCGTAAACAGATTTTTCTTTTTGATTGAAATTATAAAACGAAATGAATGCCGAGGAAATAATAATTCGACCGATTCTGTTAATAATTTCCAATTATTTAATTTGTATAAATAAGATGGAAAGTATTTGTGACGAAGGATGCTCTCGGTTTCATTCGAGGAGTAAGAAAAGAAAAGAAAGGAAAAAGAAAAAAAAATGAGAAAAGACTCACCGTACGATTCCCGAGATTTTTCACTTTGCACACTAGATGCACGGTTTTCCCCACCAAACCGGTGAAATTCGACTGCATCGAGGTGTCGAAATGGGGCCCCGTGCCGGGAGTTGGCCACTCCTCCAGAAAGTCGGTTCGAAAATTTCTTATACATGACGCTATACCACCTGAAACACGACACAATTTTTTTCACCTCTCTGCAAAAAATATCTTATAAACTCTATATTCTCTATTTTACTTGTATTTGTATTTGCGCAACGATTAAACTCTCGAGAAATCGGTCGAAATAAACGTTGCTCTTTATACGGTTGCTTGGTTAAAGAAAGAAAGAAAGAAAGAAACGCAATGGCCATTTATACACGTTGAAAGGTCGTTGGGCGTTTAAAAAACTTTGCTGAAACGGCTGGACGATTCGAGAACGAAAACAGTTGGGAAAAAAAGAAAGAAAGAAAGAAGAAAGGAAGGAAGGAAGGAAGAGGAAGAGGAAGAGGCGAGAAGAAGATTCGGAATTGAATAATCTCGAGCTAACTGGCTGGCTATTCAGTTAAGCGATCTCTTGAGAGTTTGCATAAAGACGGGTATCCTATGGGACGGCAAGACATTTTGAAAAGCCGTGAAGTTTTCAAAGAGATTAAAATGCGTGTCGACTCGCGAGCATATTCGCGGCAGATAAAAAGTTTGAGAGAAGGAAAGCGGATCGGATTGTTGCTTATAATAACAATAAGATTCTTTGGAAAAGAAAATATATATGTTCTTATTGGGTGCGAGATTCTTTTTTCCTTCTATCGATCGATTGAAAATCGAATCTCTACGATATATCACGTTTCTTTTTTATTTGTTTATTTATTTTTTCATTCGATTAGCTTTCGTTACGCGATACTCGATACGAACGATTTTCGATGGAATTCGAAAGAGTGGAACAGAATAGATCGTAACGAGTGCAATATATTTTTTTTTTTTTTTCATAGACACCCTCAGGTCGAATATGCATAATCTGCGTATTCCATCGTGCGAGATCAATTCGATACGGAATTAATACACTGCAAATGTTTTCTCTTTGCGTACACGAATCGCCTCTATTCGACGTAACACCATGAACGATTCGATCGATTCGAATCTTTCGAAAGAAGATACGAGAGAGAATGAAAATTCGAATTGCACGAATTTTATTATCGCGAAATATTGAATCGAAATCTATATATATATATATCGTACGTATTGTACGATATCGACAATTTTGGATATTAATTTTATTTCATCGAGTAATTATTATTCATATATATATATTATTTCCATGAATTATTTATGAGAATTTTATCAATTTGTAATAATTTCCAGATATAAGAGGAACTAATTGAGAATAATTATTAGGAGAGAATTGTTTCTCGAATAAAATGGGAAACTCGTTGTCCGGTGGAAATCCTGACTAACCCAAAGATACGCATTGGCGGGAATCGGAACGAGTAGAGAACAGTTTTGCGAGGGTAACAGCGTGTAACGCGACCAATGGGTTTGCCCAACATCGGCCGGTTTTGCTCCTATTCCGAGCTGGAATAACATCCATGGAGTGCCATTGTTCACGAATGATCGACTTTCCTTTTCTTTCCGTGCCATTTGATACCCTTAAATTGTTCGTTTCGAATTATACAGCGGGGGAAACACGCGCGAGCAATTCGTATATCTCGTTATTTTATTTCTTTTCCATTTTCAATCGATTCGACCAAACAAAATTTCGAAGATTTATCTATTTTTTTTTTTTAAAAGACAATTTTGAATTTTAGTAAATATCAGATTGTTCATCATTCAACGATTATTAATAAAAAATATGTTTCTCTCGAAACAGTTTGGATTAGGTTAGGTTAGTTTTAATTTTAGATTTGTCGTTACGAATAATTGATTACGAAAATTAGAAGTAACAATTCCAATTGTTAAATCGAAAGTTGAACAAACGTGAAATCAAACTTTAGAATTAACATAAATAATATCGAACAAAAATGTCAAATTAGGTTAGGTTAACTGTAACTTGTCGATAAGCAACGAATGTTGAGTGAAACTTTCACAACGCTATTCACTAATAATAATAATGTAACACTGTAACGAATTTGACAATATTTAAAAAAATTATCGTGATCGAAGAATAATACACTTTTGTGAATTAATAATACACATTTTACCGATACGTTTTCTCTAAAACAACTCTGGTTTATTAACGTATTTTTACTTATTTATAATTATTTTCCGATTTACGAATTAACACCGCACATTATCCACACGTAACGCAAATTTCGAAACATGGAAGGTTACACGGAAATAAACAATGGTAGGAAAACACGAAGCGCTCTCTAGCGAAGTTATAACGAACCGTAAAGTGGAATTGGAACGTGCGTGAAAGTTGCGCATAACGTTACGGTTCTCGCAAACTTCAGGCCGCCCAATAAAATTGATCCAGGTTGTACGAGGTTAGGTTAGCTTAACAACTTTTCTTTTTTAACGAACAAGCGAAAAACCTTCGCGACATTGTCATCGATATTCGTCGATTGCGATAATTTTATTCACAATTATTTTCTTCCATATCCACATTGACGAATTAATATATTTATCGTATAGATCGAGGAATGGAAGTACAATGAACAACCGGTAGGAGAACACGGGGCGGATTTATAACGAATTGTAAAGCGGAATTGGAAACGTGAAAGTTGGGGCACAGGCGTTACAACGCTCTCTCGCGAAGTTTAGAGGCAATAAAATCGATCTGGGCAGAGGCAGGAGCGAATCAATGGAACGGGATAAAGTGAAATTTAAATAAACATCGGGATTTCGGGATAATACGTGAATACCGGCGGCGGATCATCCATTTGTTCCCACCGGGGAAAGAATGAGCGTAATCGTATATTTGATCCCGAAAATCCGATCGAAGATCCATTTTTCGAAATCGAGAATCGCGCACGCGCGTGGATCAATGGGGGGAAGGAAGCAAAGTTGAAACGTGGACAAGAATGCTAAGCTTTTCTTTGCGAATCTCCCCCCCCCACTTCGAAATCATTCGCGTGTGGAGCACCACTTTCACAGTGGAAACTTCTCTTTCGTTAGTTCACTAGACCGTGGCGCTCGTAGACTACGCTTCGAAGCTTTCCGCCCCACGAGAAGTGGTTAAGACGAGCTCACTCCGAGTGTCGTGCAAGATACACGTCCCCCTCCCCTCTCGCTTCACAGCCATTGATCCTCGAGAAAGAAGCCCGATATACACCTCTCCTTCCCATTCTTTTCACGCTTCCTCTACGGATATATTTATACGGTATTTAAAAATATCGAGATATCCTCCCACATTGGATTGTATTTTTCTTTTATTTATTTTACAACCAAGCATAGGATATTCCTGTATATAGTTACTTCTCGAAGCGGTATTATTACAGGGACTAGAAGAATCATGGCGTCGTAAAAATGGTTCTTCTCCATCCGAACGAATCGAACCGTGAATGATATTTATTCGATCGTTTCGAATATTTATATAAGCAGTATGTATGTATTATTTCGGTATTATTTCGAAACGAATTATACAACAAGCGTTATTGTAAAATTTTTTATTCCATTCTTATTTCGAAAAGTTCAAATACTATCGTTTCCAAATCAATTAAATTTCGAGATGCCAACGGATTTCGACAGATAACAAAAAATTGCACATTGTCTCGAAAATATTCTCGGCCTTGTGCCAAACTCCAACTGCTCGCTTTTCTTCTTCTTTTCCTTCCTTCGCCAATTTGCCAGGATTCTTTGGAGAAATTTTATTTCTCGGCTTTCCGAGGCGAAAAATCCAGATACACCTCCCCCTCTCCAGGCGTAAATTCATTTCACTCTCTCTCTCTCTCTCTCTCTCTCTCTCCTCTCTTCGTTG